AACGGCACTCAGGTAGACAACCCATACCGGATGGCCAATTTTTACAATAATACTCCTTTGGTTAGACTCTCTTGTGCAAAAAAAAACGTTCTTGTTAGATCAATTTCTATACCACGGCAACAATTATCACGGTGTTCCATCAGATAGATCGCGGGATAGATCATGAAATAGATCATGAGATAGAAACAGCCGGCTCGGCGACGGGGCTCCATGAGATCAGGGAGCATTTTGCCCCGCTCTGGCGCACAAGGTGTGGACTAGGCACCACACACGCCCAACTAGCATTTTACTTGTACCAGCTCACTCCGCGAACAACTTCAACACAAAGGTCGCTGTCGTTGCTGTCGTCTTTACATTAATGAACACGTTCCGACCTCTACCAAGAAGGACTGAGAAAACGATTTTCCGTGCTATGGTCAGAGGATACCCCAAAATATTTCTAGGTTCGATTCTGTACGAAAAACACAACAAGACACGAACGGCCCAAGAAAAAGAATGAACGTTTCAAAAGTGGTAAAACAAAAGAGCACATCACAGATGGTTGCTAAGGCTGGGGTTGTACTTCAAAAAATAATGTACCAGTGGGTATGTGTCTCACCGGGGAGCAGACATGGTCATCCTTGCATCGCTCCGCCTTGCACATTCCGCTGTTGCCGCACGCCGAAGCGGCCTTCTCCAACTCCTTCCTCAGCAGCATCCAAAACTCTACGGCCTTGTCGTACATCTCCACAGTCGAGGGGGGGAGTTTCACCTACAGCACAGAGTAAAACCAGTGGCCAGTGGAAGTCGAGTGAAATGTGATCGGTTGGGGCAGTGGGTGGGCGAGGCTAATGTAGTAGATCATTCTTACACGCAAGCACGATGATAAGACAGGGAGGAAGAGGGAGACCGGTAGGAAGAGGAAGAAAGCAAGAACAAGGACTGCAAGAAGTACAAGCAGCACGGAACCTACAACACTACCACCACCAACAACAACAATAACAACAACAGCAACAGCAACAACAACAACAACAACAACAACAACAACAACAACAACAACAACAGCAACAGCAACAACAACAACACTAATGGTAACCGAGGCATCACCGACCGGCATGCCAACACCAGAGAGAGTTCGGGAAATCAAGGACACATTGAGACAAGTAACCCACTTGAAAACTCTCTTCCCCTCCAGTCCGAGCTACCTCGAACGTCTAGGACGTCCCTTCCTGCCTCCCTCGACCTCCAAGTTTCCTTCCGTCCTTCCCATGAAACCACCCACCTCTCTCCTTCGCAACAAGAGGATAGCGTTAGGGCCTAGCACTATTTACTATTAATATTCGTAAACACCTTGACAAAGAGAGAGAAAAAGCGGCGGTGGCGGCAAAGGAAATTGCAAAGGCAACTTTCACATTTCCCTCCTTCAAGTTTTGCTTCAATCTATTGAATGTATTAAAGGGTCTATGTGAAAAGAGGGAATCGTCCTCGACATAAGTTGGATGCACCCACTAATAAGGGGATCTCCACATTTAAGGTAAAGTGGCATAAATCAACTCTAAAATAAGCCCAGTATCCAGTCGCTTTTTCCCCCCAATTGACTAAAAAAGACTTCTACCGAGCCCCTTGGAGTGACTGTGGCTATACTATATCTCTAATAATGGACTCTTTTGGATTGGATGGATGTATATATCCTAGTCAAATATTACAGCACAATCAACACACGAAAAATGTAACTACCACACAATGGGTGCTTAAATCTCGGCAGCGCCGCCGTACCTCGCAGGTCTCGAACTCCGCTCCTTTCCACCCCAGCCCTCTGCTCACGTACGAGCCCTTAGCCTTGAGTTCCATCGCGAGCATCTCCAGTGCCCCTAGCCCGCGCTTCTCCATGCTCTCCTTGAACTCCTTGAAGCCGCGGAAGGGCGAGTGCTCTCCCCACAGGCCCAGCCGTGTTGCATACGCCAGGTTCCCTGGAATACATAGCATGTTTGTGGGATCAATCAACTGCCGTTAGCAGACATATCAATATCCGTGTGTTGTGCTCCACTACATAGTATGAAGAACGTATTGTTGCGCGTCTGTGGCAAGAAGAATCAATAGTGAGCGACCAGCCACTGCAAAGTCGTTCGTGAGGAGAAGGCGTTTCGTGGCTGGTGGTTTAAGTCACGTCATGCGAGAAAAATCGCCCGAGAACGGTATCTATTACCGGGATTTTTCTTTCATGACGAAATACACACAATCAAAGCGCGACTATTAGTAATACTACTCTGTCCGTTCGCGATAGTAATGCCGCGTCCGAAGGCATGCGTTGACGTATTTACGGTGAGGCTTGAGGGACACCTGCTAGTGGTTTTCTGTCAACATTCGTCGACATACCGTACATCACATCAAGGGGCTCCGGACCCTAAACTCGGTGGCCCATGTCTCTCCGCCACACACCATGATAATCATACCTATTACGGTGGTGGACGTGGGTACATGCGTTGAAGCCACTGCTGCATAATCATGTCTACGTGTAAAACCGTCTCTTCTCCTCGCGAATTTATCCTTTCGGGCCAAACTATTGCCGCCGGTAACATGACGTAAAATACCACACCCCCTGGACCGATTTTCAAAGATCGATTACTCCACAACGAAAAGCATGCATACATGAAAGGATACGTTTTCGCAGTCTCCCCTCGTTCGGCTGTGGAGAAATCGAGCTTTGAAATCGGTCCCGGGTGTGTGTTGGGTAACCTGGTCATCCTGCGAGGTGTGAGGTCCACACCGGTTCTTCTGGTCGTTCTTCGTTGTCTTCATCAAGTCGCGTTTCGACAGATAAGCACGCATACCTCTGTTTCTTTGTTTAACAGAAATCACCGTCCCCTATCTCGACGACATTTCCCGTTCGATCACTCACTATAGGAGAGAAAAGCCCCCCCCCCAGCCGAGACTGTTCCACCTCTCCTCCCGAATTCGGTGCCTAGTCTTATCGCCGGCTTCTCCCGTTCGTTGGGAACATAAACGTTGAGAGATCGGTCAATATTGGTATAATCGGTAGTGTACCTTGCACCTTGCGTCACCCCCTAGATATATTGCCCTATTTAGAACATACACCCAGCAAAAGACTTACCGATGTCGGTCACCCCTGTGGCGGAGCAGTATACCACGCGCGCCTTGGGTAGCATGTCCTACGGTGTGGGGAGGGGGCACCGCAGAAGAGAGAACGGAGGAATGAGGAGCAACTCGTGAGGGATCAAGGGAGTCTTGCTTGAGGCAAACGGCGATTCATGCTTTAGATACATCGTCATCATGGCAAGGGCATCGCCAATGCTACCACTAC